GGGAGCCTGAGCGGCAGCTCCCTTGGCTTCTCTTTGGCCCATCAGCACCCACGGGACCGGGGAGACACCCACGGGGCCACCCCAGCTCCAGCAGCCGCGCGGCCCCGGCGCCCAACCGCACTTGACTCATCCCGCCGGAGTCACGGCCTACTTTCCCACCCCGGCTATAAATATGCCCAAACCACCGGCTCCCGGCTTCCTGACGTGCTCCAGCCAGCCCCAGACCTTCTTCTCCAGCAGGTGAGTCCATCCCGTGGGCCAGGACCATGGCCATCCCACCAAGGGATGGATGGGAACGGGGTCTCCGGGGCTTCCCCATCTCTTGGTGGACATTCCGCATGGGAATGAGGTCTCCAGGGATTCCCCATCTCTTGGTGGACGTTCCACACGGGATCTGGGTTCCTCCAGGGCTTCCCCATCTCTTGGTGGACGTCCCACACGGGATCTGGGTTCCTCCAGGGATTCCCCATCTCTTGGTGGACGTTCCACACGGGATCTGGGTTCCTCCAGGGCTTCCCCATCTCTTGGTGGACGTTCCACAGGAATGGGGTCTCCAGGGCTTCCCAATCTCTTGGTGGATGTTCCACATGGGAATGGGGTGCTCTGAGGATTCCCCATCTCTTGGTGGATGTTCCACATGGGAACTGGGCTCCTCCGGGGATTCCCCATCTCTTGGTGGATGGGTCTGCATGGTAACGGGGTCTCCAGGGATTCCCCATCTCTTGGTGGACGTTCCACAGGAGCAGGGTCTCCAGGGCTTCCCCATCTCTTGGTGGACATTCCGCATAGGAATGAGGTCTCCAGGGATTCCCCATCTCTTGGTGGATGTTCCACACAGGAATGAGGTCTCCGGGGATTCCCCATCTCTTGGACATTCTACATGGGAATTGGATTCCTCCAGGGATTCCCCGTCTCTTGGTGGGCGTTCCACAGGAGTGGGGTCTCCAGGGCTTCCCCATCTCTTGGTGGACATTCTGCATGGGAACAAGGTCTCCAGGGATTCCCCATCTCTTGGTGGACGTTCCACAGGGGAACGGGGGTGCTCTGAGGATTCCCCATCTCTTGGTGGACATTCTGCACGGGTCCGATGGCTCCGGCCCCACCACGTCGTGGCTCGATGGGTTTGGTGGGAACACCCCCCCTCCGGATCCCAGTTTAGCCTGGCTCTCCCAGTTTCAGGGAGCTTGGGAGGGAGGTGGGGTCCTTCCCGAGGTGGGTTCCATGCCACCAACTCAACTCAACCAGGGTGGAGAAGAAGGACCAAGACCACGCCAAGGGCCGTAAGGGTCAAGGGGCACCACAACCCCACCAGCAGCTTGGTGACATCACCCCCACCCCACGCGGGAGGCAGGAGGACACCGCCAAGGACCTTCCCCTCCCCCGTAGCCACCACGTGGCACCCGCTGCCCTCCTCC